GCATCGATTAGTCGAAATTGACCAATACATATAAATATGACATACAATACAAATTGATATATAGTTTAAATTCGCAATGATATATTATATAATTATTTATATATAAAAACAATTTATTTCAGGTGCTTTTACAAAATAACCGTGCCCCATTATGAAAACCCACATATTACAATATATTATGCCGTCAGAATCTGTTAAAATAGATATTAAAGTAGATTAGTCCCATTAGAACGAAATTTGATTATTAGAAACTAATTAAGAAACATAGAATAATGATGCAAAAATATTACCATATTTCTCAACAAAGCATCATTATCTAGCTCAGCATACATAATACGGTTATATTCTTTACATTGACCATTTACATTCTTCCAAGTCTTTAAAAGACCATATGCAATCATCTTAATGTTTCGAAGTGCTTCTTGATTATTCAAAGGCTCAAGTTTTTCAATAATGGAGTTGATTGCATCAATTTGCTCTTCCCAAAAAGTTATAAATTTACGGCAAGTTTTAATGATCGAGATTAGATCGTTATTCAAAGTCTCTATGCAATTGGTTAATTGATCTCGTTCCGAAAGTAATTTCTTATTTAAAGATTCTATGTTAGCGCTCTCATGGTGCGCCAAAAGTTTTGTCCCTCCTGCAATGGCTATATTTTTAATTAAATGAAAAATTAGGTATAGTATCTAAATTATTAATAAATTAAAAACCCATCGTTATTAAAACGTTAATAAGGACCTACCTGTACCAGCTGTGGCTGTGAATATTCCAGCGTCGACTACTGAAGTACAAACTGCTGCCAGAGCAGTTGTACCCCCAGTAAATGGCGATGCAGCTAAAGCTGTCAAGACGCCAATAATGGCTATAGCGAAATTTGCCTTTGATGAAGCATTATATTTTTCCTGAATCGCTTCTTTCTCTGATAGCTCTTTCCCTATATCTGAACCAATATTTCGATGACATTGTTTGATATTCGTAGCATATTGCACTAACTTATCAGTGACATCTGTCAAGTCATCTCTAATATGCCTAATTTTTAACTGTAAAATTTCAGAATTTTCTTTATTTTTTCTAGCATCAGATAGACGTAATCTCAATAATCCTAAAAGATCTTCCTTGGAAAATCCAACGTCATTACAGCATTCAGCAAATATTACAACTTCTTCAGCAAACCTTGCCAATTTGCTAGATTGCTTCACTGATTCGCTAGCGAAATCTCGAAAATTAAGACGCTGTCGATTAATTTCTTCAAGCACTTTTGATATTTCGTCATTTTTAATTTGAAGTTTCCTACAGTTAGAAAAGCGTTTGATTATAGAGGTCATCGCTTCTCCAAAGGCTACTATGTCCAAAGTTGTAGAATTTACATTATCCTCTGGATAAATGAAAGTCATTTTTTGATATAAAGGAATGGAATGATGGAATGAAATGAAGTAATATATCAATATTTTAATGTTAGCGTTTAAGGGGATCCCTAATTTATCCCCACAGTTCTGATTGGACATTTGTTAATGCCGTCT